AAATTCCTCCACATTTCCATCTTAAATTCATCACCTCTTATTTCTAAACTGTGTCTTCAATTCGAGGCATCCTCCCAGCATTGTCTCTGCATCTCAGACTCTCATATGTTATAAGAAGATCGCTGCTCATTCTTCTAAACTCCAATGGATAAAGGTCCAATGTATCCAATCCCTTCTCGTAAGCTTCTCATCCCTTATCCAAGGAATTAGCCTAGTGAATCTTCTGTGAATTATGCAAATATAAGGTGATCGTAACTTACACAATACTCCAGGAATGTCTCAGCAATGCCCATAGAGATCTACAGCTGAGTAGGGCTCTTCAGTCCATCGCGTCCTTCACCCAGTAATAGCCTGCTTTTATACTCCATCCTCTTTCAACAAAGACCAACATACTATTTGCCTTACTAATGCTGTACCTGCATACTGACTTAGTGTGTTTCATGTACAATCACACCCATATCTGTCTGTTCTTCAGCAGTCTTTCTATCTCTCTCCATTGATATAATATTATGGGGATGTTGGAATAGTAGAGGGTTTGGCTGAATATCAAGAGTCCAGCATTATCTGTTTTTTTTATCATCACCCACACTAACTGTTGAGATCAGATGGTTCATAATAGTAAGGCTTAAGCTCCTGATAATTTGGGTCACTGGAAATACATATCTTCAGTTTAAATGTAATATGATTTACTTTCCATCTATGTATTTGGGACACAACATCAAGCAGGTCCAGTCAGATTGAAAGAGATACAAGATCTTGGGTTCTGCTTCCCTCTGAATGTGGATCACTGGGCCATCTATCTTGAAACTGGTTAGATAATCACTGATAAAACCATGAATAAAGGTGCAACATCTTAAAAAAGGTAATTTTTACTGGGGGGAATATGTAGTGTTGGTGCTACTGACTTGGCATCTGGGAGGGTGTTATTTCAAATCCCACCTTGTGAAACGTAAGTTATATAATGGAATTCAATTATTCTGATAATCTGTTGGGTACCACCAGGCAAATATGATTGTGAAAGCTACCAGATTGTCATTCAAAACTCAAGTTTGTTTCTTGCAACTCTCAAGAGAGAATTGGACCATAATCTGCAGAGGAAACACTTGCAAAGCTGCAGGGGAATGGCACTATGGTAAATTGTTCATCCAGAGAGATATGACCGAGGCACAATGGGCTGAATGGCCTACCTCTGTTCTATGACAATAAATTTAAGATTGATATCAAGGAGCACTTCTTCCTGTAAAGCCTGATCAATATGGGTGGGTCTTTCTGATTGGAAACACTGGAATGATTTGAAAGATACTACAATGAGGGTTGGGAATAGAGGTTTCAATGGAAGAAGATTGAGGCTTTGGGTAGGGGAAAGGAAATAATTCCTAGTGTAAAACTTCCTGATTATCTTTTAGAAGGTGATTTGTTTGAGGTTTATAAGGTGATAGGATAGATTCTGCTTGTGTAGACAGTTTGTTTAAATGAAACGGAATTAAGGACTAGGGTCCCCATCCCAGAAGGCCAGATCAAGGATCAGTGTCAGGAGCTGATTACTTCTCAGAGTAATTAATGGAGCACTCCAACAACGTCCACCTTTTTACTGAACATTGATCAACTGAATTCCTTCAAGACCAATCGTAGCCCCTTTGTGGCCAGAGTGGAAATAATCTTATCTGATATAGTGGCCTCTTGGTTTCCAAAAGCTGCCCAGCTCGGGTTGATGACTTCTGCCTAGAGGGCAGTATATTAATTGTGATATGTGTCAAATGGATAGGATGAGCAATAACTGGTGGCCTAACCAGGGAAGCCAACATTCCCTGAATATACTTTTTTAAAAAAGTAGCCCTGAAGCCCAAATTTACCATTCCATTCCATTATCACATTCCATTTCTCAGTGATTCTCATAGAACAGAGATAATGGAAGTAGCCAAAAATATCTTTATCATGCCCAACACGGTAATATCTTATGACTGGTGGTGCAATGAAAATTTGAGTAACAATATTAATACAGTAAGAGTGGATAGAATCTGAGGCATTTTGATTGTGTAAATAATGAGAATCTGCCTGGAGGACTGGTCAGCAAAGGATACAGTTGTAAAAGAAAGGAAAAAAGATGTGAGGTATTGGGGATGGAGATGAGGAATTTTTTTTTCTCGGTAGCTTATCCTGATCTGGAATGCGGTCCTTGAAAGGGTGAAAAACAGATTTAGTAAGAACTTTCAAAGGGAAATTGAAAATGTAAGGAATTTGGTGAAAGGGGAATGGGATTAATTGGTTAACTTTCAAAGAGCCAGTACAGATCCAGTTGGCAGATTGGCCTTTAATTAGAAGTTTCTCTATACAGGCCTCAGTGTGGACTCGACTCCTGGCACTCCCAGCCCCGAGGTGAAGCTTGGCGTAGTCGGGGTTGGAAGGACTGTTATTCTGATCTTTTATTTCTCTATTTTTGTAATTTATTTCTGGACTTTTTATTTCTTTTATTTTTCTAACTATTTTTCCCCACAAATTTGTAGTTAAGAATCTGTAGCTAGGTACTTTGGTACCTGAGATGGTGCCGTAAGTGGCAACTTGTAAAGTTTTCACTGTACTTATGTGAGTATATGACAATAAAACTAATTCTTGTAAAAATTCTAGTAATTCAGGTTGGCGCATATTGATACAATCATAACTGATAAGTCACTCCCTCTCTAATACATAGCCACTTAAAAGCTAGAAGACCATTTCCCATTATTTTCAGACTACTCTTGTGCAGTATACATCCACCCACTGGGTTTCTTAGCAGATGGTGTCATTGAAGCTATCTTAACATGAAAGGACTAATTAGCAAGCTTTCACACTCCTTCTTTCCAATTTCCATTATGGGATACCAAACCCTGCTGACTCTACAACCACACATGCCAGCTAACTTAAGGCACTGCACAAAAGTGATTGCTCTTTACGTTAGAATCTAGCCTGTAGGTTCAGCAGCCTAGTCAAGCAATGCAGCCATCACAGTTAGCCCTGACCTTGTTGTTGCCAGGCACCTGCACACTTTTAACATTCAATCTGCTGAGAATAGAAGGAATCCATTTAAACACAATGGATGAATGGCAAATTCAAATGATAAGATCCAAGATACTCAATACCGACAAAGCCTACGCTTTCAGAATGTTTTACTGCAGTCGTATATTCCAGCTTGTGCTGATACAGTGTACTTTGGACAAATCATTCCTTCTCTAGTTGGAGATCATTGTTATAACAAGGTGTAGAGCTGGATGAACACAGCAGGCCAAGCAGCATCAGAGGAGCGGGAAGGCTGACGTTTCGGGCCTAGACCCTTCTTCAGAAATCTGATTAGTCTTTCCCATCACAGACTGCATGCAGCTTGAACTTGGCAGTGTCTTGGGAAGGCCATTATGGATTTCATCCTCCTCACCACACAGCATGATTCACACTGGGATGCAAATTCTTGTTTGACAAACAGAAAAGATAAGGAGAACATCTGCTGGACCATCTTAATTCCAAGAAAAACAAGAATTAAATTGTTCATAAATGAGGGTGGCCCTGGCAATGCTCCAAATAAGAAAAAGCTTTGCTTCCATCGTCTTACAGTTGGGAGTTAAGGAACATTGTTAAAGTCATCAATTTTTGTTGTCTTTGGGGTTTCAGAAAATGGTCTACTGCAAATAGTTTACACCTAATATTGTATAAACACAAATTATAATGATCAAAACAATAGGCGTATGTTTTGGATGAGCTTTTTAAGGGACTCTACATGAGACTAAAGAATCTGTCAAATGGTTAGAATTAGGTTAACGTAAAGTTAACGCAATATACTTTAGTACTGATGAAAAAAAGACAAATTCTGTCCCACCAAGTATACTATATATTGAGTTTCTCCTTGAATTTGTATTCTTGCAAATTGTCCTGAGTGCAAGACAAAAAGCTTCAATAAAGTGTGCCTTTCTTCAGTAACGTTCTCCCAAATGACACTTAATATATGACAAACTTGCACTAGAAAGCCAACTTAAAGAAGTGTGAGCCTTAATAAATTAATAGTGGCCACCAATGTTTTATATAGAATCCCTACAGTGTGGAAACAGGCCTTTCGGCCCAACAAGTCCAGACCAATTTTATTGGAGGCTGTAGGATGTTGTGGAATAAAGACTGAATTCTGTAACAGTGGGCTTAAAGAATAGAATAACATGCTGGTATTATCAAATGCCCCAGCTGAGGATTTGTCACTGTCCTTTACTTCCACGCTACTTCATACACTTATGCACCTAATGATGTTATATTGCTGCCTAACAGCCCAATCACAACAGGTAGATTTTGCTGTTTGAACCACTGAGTTGTTCTCAGTGAAATTTAAAACAATATAGACCCTCTCATTGCCTTCTGGAAACTTTAACAAAAGGCTGACTGAACTGAGCTTTTACCTATTTTCCCATTAAAATCATATTTTAACCAAAGTGTCATATTAGTCTTCATACCAAGAATGAGCTCTGCCTTTAATCGGTTGCCACCATATGTTTCTGTATCAACTTGTGAAAAATGGAAACCCACGCTTAGTGTACAGGCACAACAATTTTACAAACAGTGTGAGTTAACTATTAACAGTAAACAAATGTGCAAGCGTCTCATAACTTGTCTGCAAAACCAAAATAAAAGATAGAGGCTATTTTGTATTTCATCTAAACAGCCCACTTGACAGCTGCCACCCACGTCCTTTCTTTGTGTATAGTTCTGAGCTGTTTTGATGCCAACAGTATGTTGTACAACTCTGTAAGATGACCATGACGTGGCCAAGTAATGATCGGATGGTCAACAAAAATAAATATCCATCTACTTATCCATCTATTTATTTATCTAAGATCCACAACATAATAAACTCCTGTCAGCAAAACATATTCATTATGCCCAGTATTTTTTGTGCATGATTCAGGAATTTTCATATTTACACTGGAGATTTGGGGAGCCTTTTGCTCCTCTGAAATACTGTTACATGAAAATAAATGAGATTGACTTACCATCAATATATTCTTTTTATTGCTGGTCACAGTTGAAGGGCTTGCATTCCCAATCGTTCCTCAGTACTTGTTTGTTGGCAAGCTATGAATGTTTTTCATACAGTTCAGGGCAGCTGTGGCGAAAAGCAAGTGATTTCTGTTACTCTTTCTGTGCCATTGTATACACTTTAAAATCATTTCAAAGAAACGTACTCGCCAGACCTCCTGTGCAAACCAAGAGCGGGTACTGAAAAATTGGAGGGGGAGTCAGCATCAGTAAGAGGTACTTAAATAGACTCCATGAAAGCAGAAACCAAAAAGAGTTGATCAGATGGGGAAGCTAGTACATGCACTGCAATACTGTCGGTATCAAGTATCACACAGATGAAACAAACAGACTGGTCAGCTATTTTTATATTTGGGTAGTTATTTTGACTGACTACTTACTCTATTTTCTAGAATGAATGTCTCAGCTGCAGTTAAGAGGTTGTGAAGTTCCCTCCAAAAGCATTACAAGTGCTTTCTGAACTGGACGTACCTTATTTTCCAAATAACTTGTTTTTGCAAGTGTTAAAAGGAATCAAGGCTATGCACCACATGATGATGAGTTGATTTTCTGTCCCATAAATAGAAACCTTGCATCACCAGGTCAAAATAAGTGTACTCATACCTTTGCCAGTACAACACTCATCTACTGGGACAAGACTTGAATTTTTCAGTGCAGCTCATCCCCTCATCACCTTGCTGTGAATTAGATACCCAGGGTTAACACAGAGTGGTTTGTGCTGTACTTTGACTTAACAATCGCACTTATATTTCTGTTCTTTATTGTGGTGCCTGGGCATTTGATATCAGGCAAAAGACTCCTGGAACAGATAACTGACATCAAATTCCTATTTTTAATCGTGGACCAAAAAACGATGGAGCTAAATTTCAAGGCAATCTCCTACGTGTGCTGTGCAAGCATTTGGGATGATTTAAAGCAGAGAGGAACTTATGGGGCATTTGTCTTTAAGGTTCTGACACTTACCTCTCAGCAAAGAAGGTCAGAAGACGTGCAGAGGATATCTCAAATAAGAGAACAGCACTTTCCAGTTCTCTGCTTGGTCTAGTAATTCCCCTGTAGCCTTATATGCAGACGAGCAATACTATAATAGGCGATGGATACAGTGACTAAGTTCCCAAAGGCTCTTGGAGTAGTGATCTCACAGTATGGGTTGATGGACAGTCACACATGTGTTGTAGGATTATGGACTAGGAAGGGGAATGACAGTGATTAGACATCAACCAGTTATTTGTGAACAAAAGCAGCTATTTATTTAACCACCCCTAGATCTCTGCAACAAGGGGCAGAATCATAAGCTGCTTCAGCTCCCAAATATCAACAGCAAGTCAGAATTTTTTCATTGCATGGCAGATAGTATATATCGAAAATCAACAAGTTTCATTTATACAGGCGTATTATTGGACAAATGTGTCATGATGTTTCATCCTGCCTTCAGGGAAGCAGATGTTGTACTGATGGAGGTCTAGGAGAGGTGACTGAGGGCTCAGTTTTAACAAAGGACAAAAAAGGAGCTGTGGAGATATAGAAAGATGGAGGATTTTAACTGGGCAATTCCATTAAATAGATCTTGCCATTTGAAGGCATGGTTAGGTGTTGAAGGGAGAAAGAGAAGATAGGTAGAGGTTGAGCAAAGTGGAGTTTAGATTGAATGGACAACATACAGGTCAACAGTCCTTGCTCTCTATCGACATAGATTACATTGTGTGGGCTGGAGATCTGTTGACATGCTTTCAGCTATCCACTATTAATGCAGTGTTAATACTGTTTCTCCAGAGTTTTTACATATCCTCTGCCAAAAAAGACAGTGAAACAAATCCCCACAGAAATTCACACCCTTGAAAATCAAAGATAAAGGGTCAATTTAATTGAGGTGTTTGAGGATTTGGTAGGGTAGAGAGATAAACTATTTCCTTTGGTGTAGCATACAGAGCAATGGGACATAACCTTAAAAGTAGAGCTTGGGCTGATGTTCAGGGAGCCACATCATCTGATTAAAGATAGTGGGAATCCCAAACTCTCTATCATTGTGATGATAACTGTCAGTGCCTTCAAAGTGCAGCATTGAAGTGTAGAAGGGTACAATAAGTGGATCACAGATGTGCCACGATGGTGCGGAGAAGCTGGCACATGTCGGATGCCAGATCCAGTGGACATGAGGTGCATGAAGCCGCAGTCCTGGAGTATCCATTGGTGGCATCTGTTGAAGAATACAGACAGGAGAAGGAAGCAAGGAGCTGGAGTTGCCGGGTACCCGCTCTGACTTTCATATTGGGAATTCTCGGCATCTGGTTTCTATCTTTCCCACGGTACGATAGGAAGCTGCATATTAATGAGGTGAAATTTACAGTTAGTAAGCATGTTAATGTGCAATAATCCCTGTTACTAGGCTACTCCCTACCAAGGATCTCATCTTGATGTCTGAAAAATGTGACAAGTTGCTCCCAATGTTGAAATTGGCTTTGCCCAACTTCTTCTAGATTTCCCGCCATAGCCCACATCATTCAAGGCCACACAAGATTCCGCCTGATGTCTTTCAAGAGTTTGTATCTTGTGACATTGTCCATTTGGGCTGTTGGCGTTTTCTCTAATGGTTGTTGGTTGAACTGATAGGTGCTGTGTGGCTCGATTTCAAGTCTGCTTGGCTGACCATGTTGTATTACACTACTGCCTTTGGCTCCTTTTTGTATTGGCTGGGTCTGACTTTTCATTTTGTGACTTTAGCATCAGAATTCTTTTATGGCCCTGCAGTTGACCCTATCTGTCTTGCGCTGTTTGGTTGTCTATTTGTCACTCAATGTGTCCTGTGAAATGCTGCTAATCTCCTCTGGAGACTATAGGGTTATTAATCAGAACTTTCGACTTGCTTTAGTTGAATCGAGTGACTTTAGTTTTGTTTCTAAGATCCAGAGTTCCAGATTTTCAGCTTTGCCAACGTAATGGGCTCTCAGATTAACCTGTGCCGTTACAGTGAGCTCCATTCCATCACAAAACCTGAACTTTCCCTTGAACGGTTTCATTTTTGAAATCAGAGATGGCAAGAACATAAGCTGCTGGAGTCAGAGTCAATTTGGTGTGGAGCTGGAGGAATACAACAGGCCAGGCAGCATCATAGGAGCAGGATGGTCAACGTTTCAGGTCAGGACCCATCTTCAGAACTGGAGAGGGGAAAGGAACTGGGAAACAAATAGGGGGTATGGGGCTGGGGAAGGTAGGTCGGATGGTAATAGGTGGATGCAGGTCGGGGTAGTAGGGATTGGTCGGTGGGGAGGATGGGCTGGATAGGTGGGCAGATTGTGTCAGGTCAAGGCCGCGGGGATGAGAGGGAGGGTTGGACATGGGATGAGGCCAAGGGTGTGGACATTTTAAAACTGGTGAATTCTATGTTCAGGCCATCGGGCTGTAGGCTCCCGAGGTGGAATATGAGGTGTTGTTCCTCCAGTGTGGCATCATTGTGGCACTGGAGGAGGCCCAGGATAGACGTGTCATCAAGGGAGAGGGAGGGGGTGTTAAAATGGTTGGCGACCAGAAGTTGTTGTTGTTTGTCACGTACAGAGCGCAGATGCTCCATGCATCGTCTATACTTAGTCTCACCGATGTAGAGGAGGCCACATCTGGAGCAACGGATACAGGAGACCAGGTTGGAGGATGTACAGCGGAACCCCTGTTGGATATGGAAAGTTTATTTTGGGCCTTGGATGGAGGTGCAGGGGGAGGTGTAGGGACAGGTGTAGCATCTCTTGTGATGGCAGGGAAAGGTGCTGGGTGTGGTGGTGTTAGTGGGGAGTGTGGAGCAGACAATGGAGTTGCGGAGAGAGCGGCCCCTATGAAAGGTAGATAGGGGTGGGGAGGGAAATATCTCTTTGGTTGTGGCGTTGGATTGTAGGTGGTGGAAGTGGCAGAGAATGATGCGCTGGATGCCGAGGTTGGTGAGGTGATATTTGAGGACACGGGGGACTCTGTTTATTTTTTGGGGGGGGGGGGGGGGGAGTTTGAGGGCAGAAGTGCAGGAAATGCAAGAGATGTGGTTGAGGGCATTTTTGATCACCAGAGGGGGTGGTTGCGGCCCTTGAAATAGGAGGACATCTGGATGTGCAGGAGTGGAACGCTCCATCTTGGGAGCAGTTGTGGAGGAGGCAGAGGAATTGGGAGTAAGGGATCACATTCTTGCAGGAGGGTGGGTGAGAGAAGGTGTAGCCCAGGTAGCCGTGGGAGTCAGTGGGTTTGAAATAGAGGTCGGTGTTGAGGCGGTTACCAGAGATGGAGACGGAGAGGTCCAGGAAGGGGAGGGATGGTCTACACTCTGTATGCTATAATCAACAATGCCTTCCAGTCGCAAACCATTTTAAGTCCCCTTCCCACTCCCTGGGTGACATATCCATCCTGGGCCTCCTCCAATGCCACAATGATGCCACAGGCAAACTGGAGGGGCAACATCTCATATTCCACCTTGGGACCCTACAGCCCAATGGCCTGAACATAGAATTCACCAGTTTTAAAATCTCCCCACCCCACCCAGCCTCATCCCATGTCCAACCCTCCCTCTCATCCCCACCTTCTTGACATGATACTACCTGTCCATCTTCTTCCCAACCTATCCGCCCCACCCTTCTCACTGACCAATCCCCTCTACTCCCTACCTGTATCCATCTATCACCATGCCAACCCCCAGGCCCAACCCCTCCTCTCTCTTGCCCCATTGACCTGACACAACCTGACCATCTTCCTCCCCACCTATCCACTTCACACCTTCACACTGACCAATTCCCTCTACACCTTACCTGTTTCAATCTATCACCATCCCCCAGCCGCACCCCTCCTTCCTCTATTTCCCAGGTCCCTTCCCCCTTCCCTGCTCTGATGAAGGGTCCCGACCCGAAATGTCGACTTCACTTTTGAATTGCTGTCTGGTGTGACTTTACACAGTTCTGTGAATCACATAATTTTGCAGAAAGCATCAGTGTCTTTCTGGCTCTGCATATTCACTCAATGCTCTTGTTTCGCAGCATTCATTGCAATAGTTACAAATTATTTTCCCCTTTTAAATTTGACATTCCCAACCTGCTCCAAGATGTAGTTTGAATCATTCGAATCTTCATGTGTTTCGGATGCATAATGCATCTGTACGTTCAACTCAAGATCTTTATTGAAGTGACCTTAAGAAGTTCGGGTACAGTGTGCGTGACTCATGGTACATATAACTATGGCAGACATTTTTACATGATTGCCTTTC